CCACCCACACACACACACACACACACACACACACACACACACACACACACACACCTCTCTTTTCCAAGCCTGGATGTCTGATGATGATGGGTCCTTCCCTTGTGTCCAGGTATGTTCTAACCTCACTCTCATCAGTTCAAACAAGCACAATGGCCGTTGGTCTGTCCAGAGTGGGTCTGCGTTCCTGAAACATGGCTGTCCAACCTGTATTTGATGCCAGGCTTTCCCCTCAGGTATGGCTCTGTTTCAACTCCGGAGATTATTTCCTGGGTCCTGTCAGGTGGGATCACTCCTGGACACATTTGATTTAGACAGGTAATGTTACAAAGTGAAGGGGACACATTTTAGAGCAATGACTATGCACACATTAAAATCCCTAATGTGAAAATTTGTCATGTGTGGGCCAGCTGGGTCAGGTAATAAGTCTTTGGATGAAACGTCAGTGTGAGGTCAGTTCTGTGTGTTGTCCTATGGTGTCAGTCTGAGTATCATGCTGTCAGAGGTAAGGTCTGAGATAAGGAAGCACAGTCACTGAGAGGCTTGGCTCTTAGCCTCAGGGGCACAACAGTGCCAACACACTGCAGTTGCAGTGCTGGCTAGCCCAGCGGGGCAGGTGCCTGGCCTAGAGGATGTGGCTTCAATGACATCACTCAAAGCAATGAGGTTCATAAACTAGGGTGTCCATCCTACTGCAAAAGGCTGGCAGGTTGTGAGTCCTGCTTTTTGGCTCTGCTGGAGATTTAGGACTATGCTTAGGAAACGACATGGACAGACAGAACTTTGGACTCAGGCCTTCAATCCACTCTCCCCTCTGTTTCCTCTCTATTGCCAGTCCACCTCCTCCCCTTGTGAGCAGCTCTCTCACTTGAGAAATTGATATTTTTATGTCTCCCATTTAATGTGTCCTTTGAAGCAATGGACATCCGTTGGATACCTACAGTGTGCTTGGCAGTCATGTGATGTTTAACAGATCCTGGCACAATGCACAGGCTGAGCACAGGCAACTGAGTTAGCTGGGTCCTGAATGACTGACAGACCTCTACCCTGTCCAGATCCTGCTAATGGGTCACTCTTGATTCATGCTCAACCCATGCCATTTTGCCTGTTTCTCTCTGTCTCCCCTGTGCCAACCATTTCCCTACCTCTTCAGGTCCTTCAGCACAGACTTCTTTACTTCCGATGGCAGCCTTCTCCTGACCCCCACGTGACCAATCTGTGCCCATTTTCTCTTCTCCCCACTACAGAGATACGGCACCTAACCTGCATTCTTTGGTTTCACTGCTTGCATTGTCTCTTAAAGCTCTCCAGATCAGGCTTGTCATCCATTCCTGCAATGAAGTTGCTCTTATAAATGTTGCCAGAGACTTCTGCATTGTTGGAAGCAATGGCTGGTTTTCTACTCTCTTTTCAACTGCCTTTGTCCTAAGTAATGTGGTCATTGTGGAGTGCTGGCAGTTTCCTTCTTGCAGTTCAGAGGGTACTCTTGGTTTTCCTCCTTCCTGTCTTGTGTCCCCTTGCCAATCTCCTAAGCAACTCTCCTTTTTGCTCCTTGATGCTCTCATGCTCAGGGCTCTGATATATATCTGCTTCCTTCTACATGTACAAGTGGCCTGCAACCCCAGCCTAGCTCAGGCAATATTGTGGCTCCAGATCCTGTCTATATACCTGCAGCACAGACCATTTGTCCTGGCTAGTAGAGTGTACACTTGACAAAACTGTTGTCTTCTGAGAAGAGGGAACTTCAATTTGGAAATGTCTCCACGATATCAGAATGAGGGGAAGACTGTAGGCCATTTTCTTAATTAGGGATTGATGTGTGAGGACCCATGTCCATTGTGGGCAATGTCCCCTTGTTCTGGTTCTGTAAAACAGCAGGCTGATCAATCCTGGGAGAGAAAGCCAGTGAGACGAACTGTTCCGTGGCCTCTGCATCAGGTCCTGCCTGCTCTTTGGGGGCCCATTTGTGGTCCTGTCCTGACATTCTCCTGTGAGTCACCAGTGTGTGGTAGTGGGAGCCAAATGAACCCGTTTTCTTCTCTAAGACATCACATTTCATCATGTCAGTAATAAAGCTAAGAATGACAGCATTCCAGAAAATTCCAGAGTTACTTTTGCAAGTTCTTACTCAGTTCACAAGGGTACCAAGGAACAACTGGATTCAACATGTGATGTCTTCAGTTCCTGATCTCCCCTCCAACTGTGACACACATTCTCCATTCCAGCACTCCGTATATGTGGCCCACTGACCACATGTTAGTAACTTCCTGAGAGAGAGCAAGAGAGAAAGTGGAGGAAGCAGCCTGACCTCAGGCTTGCTCCTCCCTGCCATGTCAAATGTAGTATCTCATGAAATCTGTAGAAGTTTACCTTGACATGCAGAGAAAGCCTGTTTTGTTGCCCCCATACCCTCCTTATGGAGTGTTCCCAGGAAAGTCTTAGTGCGATCTCTGTCCTGGATTCCTGCTTGCTCTCTGAGCTACAAATTGCCTTGCCTGTACTTGATGTGCACTGAAGACACTGAGTCATGAGTGGGCCCCCTACAAGGCGTGCCAGGTCACACGACCTAACCCACACAGTGCTTCCACCTAATCCCCTCACATTTTACTTGAAACATGAGGTGGCTTCCTTCCAATGCCTCAAGTCTTTCAATAGAATCCAGGGTCTTGTTACTGCTTCCACTGGTTTTGTCTCCTGTTCCCTTACAGTCAGCTCAGTGCACCTCACACATTTTGGCCTTTCTGCCATTAACTATGTATGGTAAACATTCGCTGGCACTGAAGCATTGTCCCTTATTTCAGAACCATGTTTACTTTACATATCAACAAGTAAACCCCCTCCACTTCTTTTCTTACTTTCCTACAATGCCAACACTCCAGGCTAGTCTACCTAGCTGGTCCTAAACTGTTGAATTGAACCTTCAGGCCTTGGAACAGCATTTCTGGTGGTTCTGTGCAGACTCACCCAGTACTGAGAAGATCCCTCCCCATCACCAGTACCAAGGTAGCCAAGGTAACCACCACCCTCTTCTGTAGACTGTGACCCCTTGTTGGAACGATTCTCATCTTACTTTCTATTTCTTTGTAATCATGTGTACCATTGATGGTAAGGAGAAGGAACCTTGTGATTTGCTCACACATGAAACTCACAGGTAGAGTGGACCCATACCTGAACTAACACATACAAAGTGTGTAAAAGCATGAATTTTAGAGCATCCTGCCAGGAAAGTGACATAACCCAGTTAATTTTGGAGGACTGACAAGCAATGAAGTAATCAGGAGCCTCCTTGATAATGCCTGGAGGGTTATGGAGGGCATGGCACATCTGCCAATTCTACCCTGCACATCTCCAGATAGCACCAGGGAGTGTGCATTGACCTTCTGGTTTGACCCTTCTGGTTGTGCTCCAGCATGATCTTCTTTGCTATGTCCCTGGGCTTGAAGGCTTTTGACCAAAAGGACTCCTCCAAGGCTGAGTGGAGCTCCTGTGTCCTACTGTCTGTCTTTGCAGTATTGGGTGCCAACTTCATCCTTGACTGGGTCTGTTTTCCCATTCAAGCATGTCATGGACCAATGTTGGGATTCCAGAGGCCTGTGGGAGGGATCTGAGTTTCTGCTGTGGTCAAACTGGCCTGTAGTCCCCCTACCTCGAAATAGTGGCACAGTCACTGGGGCCAATTTTGGAAAACAGTCCAAGAAGTTCCTGGCATAATAAGTAATCCATAAAGGCCAACTTAATACTCTTTCTAGCCTTGGAAAGTACCCCATATTTCTCCCCCTAAGTCTCTCTCTCTGTCTCTCTCTCTGTCTCTGTCTCTGTCTCTCTCTCTCTCTCTCTCTCTCTCTCTCTCTCTCTCTCTGTGTGTGTGTGTGTGTGTTTCTTCTTCTCCCTTCCTCTCTCTAACTCTCTCTCCTCTTAACAAGGCCTTGTTCCCTAGTTCTCTGGAGTGTTCCAGGACCCAGGAGTTCACTCCTCCTTCATCCTTGCAGACTGACACTGCAGTTTTTCCCCTGATTTCTTGGAAAGGCTGCAAGGGTGGGACCACCTTAGCCTTCAGTTTTACTGAAGCAAGCCTCTAAGCTTGCTGTCTCATCTCCTGGGAATTCAAGACTGAAAGAATTTGACTCAATGTTACAATGAGCATACTCTCTGGCTCACCCTCTTCCATGAGTACCCTTTCCTGGCTCTCCTCAGTCCTGTCACTCATCTAACAGCCACTGGGTTCTTGCCCCACCCCTAGGTTTTACTCCCCCAGCAGACAGGTCACTTTGAAGTACTTCACTAGTGTGCTGGAAAGACTGAACCTGCAGGGAGATGAGCCTAAGTCCCTTGAAGGTCCCATCCCTGGGCAAAGCAGGTCACCCAAGGCCCAGTTTCCACATTCAAGCTGAGCATAGCCTCCTGCTGAAGCTTTTGAGATTCCAGCAGTGATCTCTGGCACAGTGCAGCTGGAGGCCCATGCCTGTTCTTTCTGCAGTGTCGGGATTCTCCTGCTCTGGGCTCTTCATGATGCTTCTTGGCCCTTACACACAGATAACCACATTAGGCCATTGGATCTTCATGCCTAAGGGAGTCATCACAGACTCAGGCAGGTTTAGATGGACATAAATCACATCTAGCCCTGAGCTAGCTGGCACTTCAGCAAAACTGGTCCATTGATCATCATTGCCTGGCAGGGGCACACTGTGACACTCCTCTGGCCAGCATGAAGTGCTGAAGAAAGCTGCTCCAGGCTCTCCTACTTCCTAGCTGAGTTTCCTGGGGTGCAGTGACTGCTAAGGAGAACCTCTGTGCAAGGAGATCATGTGTGTCTCCCCCTTCCATGGGGTTGATGGGAGCGGGCTGAACCTTCACATTCCCTTTGAAGGCAGAGTCCCTGTGAATATGCCCTGGCAAGCCATCATAGATGGCAGGTGACCTAGAGAGAGTTGGGAACTCTGGGAATGTGGAGAAAGACTCAGGACCTTGTCTCAGGACTGTCACTTCAGTCACTCTGACCCATAAAAGCCTCCTGCTGCCCTCTCCTGGATTCCCTGCCTCCCCATCTCTTGAGGTAGAATGACCAACATGTACCCCCAGGGGCAAATGACAAGCCTCTTGGTTCTCTAGCACTTCCTGCCCATTAGAAGCTGCTTATCATATGTGTTGTGAGCTGCTGAAGCTTGCTTCATGGGCTCTGCTTCTGGGTGAAGCCTACTTATCCTGCAGACTGCCTGCCATGGGTTTGGGCTTTACAGAAAATCATTTGTCACCCTACCCTGAGCCCAGTGACTGGGCCTTGTACTCAGCTACTAGTCAGGTGAAATTGGAGTGGAGCAAGGCAGAATGTATCTTGCTCTCTGTGGTGTGTGGCATGCCCGGGTCAACACCTGTTCTTCATTTTCCCTAGAAGGAGATTGCAGTCTGTTTTCTTAGTACTTTCCTTGTGGTTAATGTGGTCACCTCTAGAGCTGAAGTGTTCTCCTCCTTGTTTTCAGCCATGTATCTAAGGAGAATGGGGAAGATTCTCCTATTTCTCCACATCCACAGTTACCACATGACCTTAAAGGGAAAGTGAAATCCCCACATTACCTTGACCCTGAATACACACATACACACACACACACACACACACACACACACACACACACACACACACACCCCACAGACCCACACATACAGACACAAAGACACAGTTACACTTATATAGAGACACACACAGACACACATACACCCTCATAGAGACACACATACACAGAGATAGAGATACACAGACTGACACAGACACACACATGCACCCTCATACAGAGTCAGCATTTTAAGCACCGAGCAGTGCAGAAAACTCTCCTACCTGAGAAACTTGTAAGTGTCCTTGCTGCCAAGTTACAGGTTGAATCTTCTCTCAGGCCCCTCCCACATTTAAGACCATATGTTTGAGAGGCTTTCTCCCCAGTGTCCCAGGCTTATTATCATTGCCTTATTGTAAGCTGTGACAGGCACAACACTGCCTGTCTTCCCCTCTTCTCCCTCCTTGTTCTCTATTTCCCTCTACCAACACCTGAAAAGTTTGTTGAGGAATTTCTTATTCCCTAAATTTCTACGTTGCCCTTAGTGACTCCAGATTTACTCCCACACCCCAATATTACCTTGAGAACTCAGATTGACATAGTCTTGGGAATTCTCATCACCTCCTCATTTTTCACTTTGTGTGTCCCCACAGAAAGCTATTTTGAAGTCAATCTTCTTGAAACAATGGCAATCTAGAAACAATGAGTGAATAAGTGATTCCAATTAGGAGTTAATGAAAACAGGCATATGTTATTTTTACCCCATCTGAATCCTCCAAGGAGGAAGTGATTCCAATTAGGAATTAAGGAGAACAGGCATTTTTAAAATTTTTACTCCATCTGCAACATTTCCATAATTAGATCAACACACCAAAATCCTCTCCTACAGTCAGACTCATAGACAGTTTTTACCATCAGCCAAGAATTGCTGCTGGAAGTAGAGCAAAGTCAACAGCAGCTGCCATACGGGTTCTTTCCCCATGGAAAATTGGCATCAAAGACTCATACTGGGTCATCTATAGATGTGGTGCTAATAGGAATTCAATAGTAGACATATTCAGAAACCACTCTCAGCCCCACAATCAATGGTCCAACAGAGAAATGTGAATCTGCTTGAACACTGTCAACTTTGGGCACAGCACTCCCACCATCTTCTCCTGACCCTCTAGGAAGGAAGCAATAACAGCCAGGTGGAGTTGATTTAGCCACCCACAACCCAGGGAGCATAGTCCATAGCACTCCACATCCAAGGGAAGCTGGTAGCCCCCATTCAAGAACAGGACTATTAAATACAGACATGGAATAAGGCCTGGACCAAGACCTGTGAGACAAAGCAGTTCATCAGCCAAGGAGATGAAATCAACATTCAGGCCAGTGATCTCATTTTCTTCTATTTCCATTTGATTCTTCCTCCCCACTACAGCTGTTCTTTTTCTGCCCATGATTCCATTATCTTATTTCTCCAGCCAGCTCTCCTCCTTCCCCTATATGTATTTATCTATATAGTTCAGGAGACAATTGTAGCAGGCCAACACTGTCCCCTACTGTTCATACCTTTTACTGTTTTATCTTTCATTTTCTATTTTCTTTTCTTTTTTCATTTTCTTCATTTCTGTTTTCCTGTACTCATTCCTCTTATTGTTAACTCACCCAAAGCCCACAGGATTACTTGGTTTATGATTTGTGGGTACATATCTTTACCTCCTCTATTTAGTCTACCACTAACCACAACTCCCATATATTCACCCCATTTGTTCCTTTGCTTCAATGTCCCCATTCTTGTGCATATCCCTGTACTTTCCATCTCACAACCTAATATTAATCATGTGACAGTCTTACTTACCATGATTGCTTTCCTCATTTTCTTTTCTTTTCCTTTGAATTCACTGTATCTCTTTTCTCCCTAAACTATTCAGTAACTAACAAGTATCTGTTTTGTGGTAACCTGCAACTATGTTATTAGAGTGAATTAACTATGAATATTAGAACTGCTACTGATTGTACTTAACTCCTAGGCACAGACTCCAGATAGATCCTGGTGCCTGAACCTTGGTCTAACAGATAAAATCACCTCCATAACTGTATTACTACTTTGTCTCCCCCACCCCCAACACTGAAAGAAAAAAGGCAACCTCAGTTAAAGAATAAAAACAACAAAACTTAACCAATAATCCAACCCCATTGGGGTGGTTTGAATGACCTGTCCCCTGTAATCTCCAGCATTTGAACACTTGGCCCTTTTGGTGGTGCTGTTTGGGGAAGTTTAGGACGTGTGGCCTTGCTGGAGGAGGAATTATGTCACTGGGGATGGGCTTCAAGAGTTTAAGGCCCTTTTCTCTCCCAGTTTTCTTTTTCTGCTTCTTTCTTTCAGTTCAACATGTGAGCCCTCAGCTCCCTGTCCCTGGCAACATATCTACTGCCTGCTGCCATGCTTTATTGCCATGATGGACTCCAATAACTTCTTCTATAAGTTGCTTTGGCCAACATGTTATATCATCACAGCAACAGAAAAGTAACAAATACACCCTAGATGGGCACATCCCACTACAAAAGTACAAGTAACATGAAAAAAACCATGACAACATGTCTCCTCCAAAAATTACCAACCCCATACTAGTGATCCTTTATCACAATGATTTAGATGAAATTCCAGGTACAGACTTCAAAAGAACAATTATAAATATAGTTAAAAACTATTCAAAGAAAACTATACTACTTTTCAAGAGAATACAAGCAAACGCTTGAAAGATATGAAAATAGAATTTAATAAAGAGCAACAAATACTGGAGAAAACATCAACTGAAGTGATGACGGAAGTGAAAAGCACAATAGGTCAAGTAAAAAAGTTCAATGGAAAGCTTCATCAATAGGATGGATCGTGTGGAAGACAGAACAGGGTATGAAGACAAAATAAAGGCATCAGACCATTAAGTCAAAGGTCAATAATCATTTTTTAATATATGGGTGAAACATGTAAGAAACC